ACAAACAAATTATGTGTGAGTTTATATCAATTTATTTTGTAAACATTAATATATAGATATGTTATACGGTACATTTATTTGTAAAAATAATATATAACATGTTTATTAATGTATACATACATAAATAAAATAATAAAGTAAAATTTACTAAAATATAAGCAAATGTAAGATATCAAAAGTTAAGAGTCTTTTAATTTTTTTTAATCATACTTCTATTGAAACAAAATTGTAAAAATATATCCCGCCGCGAAGGATAGATTTTTATCTAATTTTAATGATAAGGATAAGAGTGAAAGTGCCACGTGTGGACATGTGTCCAAACGTGAGAAGGAGGAGATTTGCCACGATCGTCACCGGCCACATCTTGGATCTAGCGCAACGCCGTCGCCGGACTTCAGATCCATCATCGCTGACTCTTTCTATAGGCTCCACCGCTGCCGATCTGCAAGATTTTGCTGCTACCGTTTTGAAATTTCCAGCCATAGACTCAAATGAATCTTTATAACTCAACTCCAAAAACTCCTCAAAGAAAGCTTCACCTTAAGACCTCCAAAGGTCCGCTTCATACTAGAAGGTGAAGTAAGTTGACAAAGATATTACTTCTTCAAAAGAAAGAGCCAAACTGACAGTAAAGCAAACATAATCTTTCAAATAGCAAACGTGATTTAAATTTGAAATCATGTAGAAAGAGAGAACAAACAAAATCCAGATCTTATACAAAGATAAGTCTGGAAAACTTCAATCTGACCATAACACCGGCTAAGCCGGAGATGAAAAACAAAATAAGATCGAAAAGAAAAAAAAAAAACTTGTCCGATTAGTAATCGGAAGACAAAAAGAAGAAACCTCTCTCTCAAAATTTGGAGAGAGTTAAGAAAGAGAAAAGCTTTTTTTAACTGAAATTTTAATTAGGCAACATGTATTATCGAGATTTCAAAAATATAAAGTCTTAGTCCTTGTTCTAAAAATCGGCCGTCTAGGCGCTGATCGGAGGGGAACTGCGGCGATTTTGTCCAAATCGGTGAGAAAAATCTGATCTCCGATTTTTCGTCCGCCTAGACCGCCTAGACGGCCGCCTAGCCCAATTTTTTTTTTTTTTTTTTAATCTTAAATTCAAAACGTCCTACTTATGTTCGTAATTTGTATAAAAATCATAAATTTGAAATTAAAATTTTGTTTTCATGTGTTTAATGCAATTTTAAAAACAATATTATATAAATTTCTTAATTATAATGGATTAATATGTTTTTAAAACATTAAATAACCCTAAAACTAATCCCCGAATAATCTCCGTATAATCTCCGATTTTTTTGCTAGGCGCTAGGTGCATCCTCACCGTCCGACTAGCGCCTAGCGATTTTTTGAACACGGGTCTTAGTTATAGGTCTAGAAAATTTAAAAGAAACACTTGTACAAATAATTAATAGATCTGAAAGTTTTAAATTATTGAAAATAAAAATTAAAAAAAAAAAACGCTACTGTTATAGTACTTACCAAAAATACCAATCGGCCCATGATCAGTTGAAATTGTTTTTGGTAAAATATGTCAAAATCCAAACATCACTAAAGCGTACTCAAAATGTATATCACATGGACACGTGTAAAGAGGACGCTTGTGGTCGTGCGCCATCATCATCAAGCGAAAGGGTTTATTTTTGTATACAAAAACTGGGCCGTCCTTAAAAGCCCAATAAATAAAGGCCCAATCATTCTCTCTAATATTTCGACCTAAACCCTTATTTAGACGCATCCTTATTCGATAAAAGATAATAACAAACTTATCTCTTTACCTTCTCTGCTTTTTCATCCAAAGGTCCAATTAGCCTCTCAAGCCCAAATCTCTCTCTTTCTGTTTATCTCTCTCTCTCTCTCCTCGCCGAAGATCGGCTAGATTCCCTCCGTCACGACCGTGTCGGACCGCAGATTTTCCTTTCGTCTTCTCTAGTTCACGACGTAGAGCTTCAATTTCTCCCTCGCAGGTATTGTTCTCGAAACCCTAACTCACGATTTAATTTCGCCTTTTTTATTGGATCTAATTGGGGATTTTTGAGTTTTGCCTCGATTGTTTGTGAAATTGTCAGCTTTTGATCTGCGCTGCGAAAATACGTTTGGTTCCTTTACTTTGTGAAATTGTTAGCTTGGATCTGTTATACGAAATTATCAGCTTAGATCTGCTAATTCTGAAATAATTCAACTCATTCGCCAATTTTACTGGGTAGAGAAAGTTCTTCAGGTCTTTGAGGAGCCAAGTTCAAAAATTTTGGTTCGACTCATGGAGGCAAAGCAGTTTTGAAAAAACTTGAATTGTTGTTTGTGTGTGTGTGTGTGATTTAAAGAAAAAAGGCCGATCTTTTTTGTTTTATAGAATTCTGTGTATTGTTTTGATACAGGTTCGTTGTGTTGAAACTTTGTAATCTGGGCTCTAGTTTTTGATTTGCAGCCCATGTTTGATCGACTCTTAGGACCTTTAAAAACTCCAGATCTGTTTTTTCTCTTTCTTCTTTTCTTAGTTGTTGGATCTACTCAATCTGTGAAATACCGATATTACCCCGACCAATTTTATTATTTACCGTGGGTCATGGCCTTTTCGAATAGGCCCAATGATTAAACTAATATTTAGTACTTGAGTCCATGTGATTGTTTTTGACTTTTTTTAGTCCCATCAATTATCATGCGGAAGTTTCATAATCGCTATTATTATTTATCTTATGGGCTTTTTGGGTAACCATCACATACTGATTCTTGTTTTCCTTTGTATGTATATGTATGTAGCAAGAAGATGGAAACAGCTTTGGAGGTGTACAATGATACTGAAACGAGGTCACCAGAAACACAACCAATCAAGCGACGCAAGAAGAAGTCGATGGTGTGGGAACATTTCACAATCGAGGCGGTGGAACCGAATTGCAGAAGGGCTTTTTGCAAAGGATGTAACCAGAGTTTTGCTTATAGCAACGGTAACAAAGTGGCTGGTACTAGCCATCTTAAGCGTCACATTGCTAAGGGGACATGTCCTGCACTTATCCATACACAAGACAATGATAACAACCAGCTGATGACTACTCCTTACACTCCCAAGAATGACACCCCGAGAAGGCGTTACCGAACCCAGACCCCTAGTCCTTTTGTTGCGTTTAATCAGGACAAGTGTCGTCAAGAGATAGCTAAGATGATCATTATGCATGACTACCCTCTTCACATGGTTCAGCATCCAGGGTTCATCTCGTTCGTGCAGAGTATTCAGCCTCACTTTGATGCTGTGAGCTTTAACAATGTTCAAGGAGACTGTGTGGCGACTTACCTTGCAGAAAAGCAGAATGTCATGAAGTCTTTAGAAGGGATTCCTGGACGCTTCTGTCTAACGCTGGACTTCTGGACGTCCAAGCTAACTCTTGGGTATGTGTTTATAACTGCTCACTTCATTGACAGCGATTGGAAGATACAAAAGAAGCTTCTCAATGTTATGATGGAATCGTATCCAGAAGCTGACGAAGCCTTGAGTCTTGTGGTTGCAAATTGTGTTTCTGAATGGGGTCTTGAGGGAAAGTTGTTTTCTGTCACCTTCAACCATCCGGCGAGTAACTCTGCAGTTGAAAACATCAGACCTCAACTCTGCATCAAGAACCCTGGAATTCTGGATGGTCAGTTGGTAATAGGGAATTGTGTTGCCCGAACATTTAGTAGCCTCGCTAAAGATGTCCTGGAGAAAGGAAAAGATGTGATCAAGAACATCAGGGACAGTGTGAAGCACGTGAAAACCTCAGAGTCCCATGAGGAGAGGTTTATTGAGCTCAAGGAACAGCTTCAAGTTCCAAGCGAGAAGGTACTTTCTCTTGATGATCAGACGCAATGGAACACAACATATAAGATGCTTGTGGCTGCTTCAGAATTAAAGGAAGTGTTCTCGTGCTTAGACACTGCTGATCCTGACTACAAGAAACCTCCTTCAGCAGAGGATTGGAGGCATGTGGAGGCACTTTGCACATTCCTGAAGCCTCTTTTCGAAGCAGCCTCCACTCTTCAATCTACTGGAAACCCATCTGCTGTTACCTTCTTCCATGAAGTGTGGAAGACACAGTCAGATCTGTCTCGGGCAATAGCTGGAGAGGATCCTTATGTCGCAGGTATTGCTAAAACCATGAAAGAGAAGGTTGACAAGTACTGGAGAGACTGTAGCTTGGTTTTGGCAATGGCGGTGGTGATGGATCCTCGGTTCAAGATGAAGCTTGTCGAGTTCAGTTTCTCCAAGATATTTGGAGAAGATGCTGGGAAGAACATCAAGACCGTGGATGATGGGATCCATGAGCTCTTCAGCGAATACATGGCGCTCCCGTCGCCCCTTAAACCGACATCTGAAGGTGGGAAAGCAGATGGACTGTCAGATTTTGATACGTACATAATGGAGACAACGGGGCAGAATCTGAAATCAGAGCTTGACCAGTACCTTGATGAAACGCTGCTTCCCAGGGTTCAGGAGTTTGATGTTCTTGACTGGTGGAAACAGAACAAACTCAAGTACCCGACATTGTCAAAGATGGCTAGAGACATCCTCTCGATCCCGGTTTCAGCTGCAGCCTTTGACTATGTCTTTGACATGGAGCCAAGGGAGATGGATGAGTATAAGACATCACTGAGGCCCGAGACAGTGGAGGCTCTGATTTGTGCGAGGGAATGGCTTCTCGAGAATGCTTCTTCTTCTGCAGCTGCGCAAATGGCAAGTGCTATCATCAAATCTGAAGCATAGGTGAGACTTTGCTTTATTATCACTAAATGTTGTATTGTTGTTGTTTTCTAGAAGTTTATATGTCGTCTTTTGTGGTTAGTCTTTAAAAGCACCGTGTGATTTGCAATTAGGAATTTGACTCTTTAAGATATCTACTGCACATTTTAAAATGCTCCTTCCTAGATGAACTTTATTGCACATATTCAACTGAACTATAAGCCTCGATGAATCCTATCTTTCAATTCCAAAACTGAAATTCTTTACTCTTAACATTTTTTACAGCGTATATGAGTAATTAATACTCTAGACAACTGTTTTAGTTCAATGAGTTTTTTTGAAATAACTCTTGAAAGAAATATAAGAACAAAAGGTATTGTAATGCAATGACTATTTTTTTTTTTTTTTGTTGTGGCTAAAACCATTAAATATAGTAATATACTATCAAGAAGGCAACCTAATGTTTAGCCTCCTTAACCAAACGGAGTGAAGTATCATGTGGATCACATCAAACGGTTGAGCCGGGCGGTTCACCACAAAATGCCTTCTAACTTTCATAACATTTTGATACATCCTTATATACTTGTCATGCGGAATCTCTTGCAAAATCTTCTTAATATCAGGGATTTTGTCGACCGGGATCTCTACCGAGAACTTGCTCCAATCAAGCACGTCGTTGAACGGAAGTGAGTAGTTGTCGGATATGACAACCGGGACGCAGCCTGAGTAGATGGCTTCGACCTCTCTAGGGCTAGCCACCTCGTAGCCACTAGGACAAAGACAAAACTTGCTATGACCAATCAATTCATGATAGTTTTGTCCCTTTGTGAGGTGGTCATACACTTGAACGTCTTTATCCTTGCCCTTCCAGTGAGTGAACAAGACTTCCCTTATGTATCCGTGAGCTCTTCCTGCAAAGAAAGCCAAGATCGTCCTGTTCTCAGGGGTTTGGCCCATGAACGGTGGCTTTAGCTTCCTTTTAGGAATGTTAATCTCTGGTATAGAGATATCGATGTTTGGTCTGAAACCTTCCGTTGTGTTGGCGTTGCATAGTCCTCTCATGAAGTCCTTGAAAAACTCTGGTTTACTATCCGCCACATCGGGAGCCTAATTAAATCACATTAAGTAGAAAACATTTAGTCGGTGGTTTGGTCGAACCGATCCAAACCGGCAAAAAAAAAAACCCGATTAAAACCTGATCCTTCAAATATTTCTACAAAACCAAAACCATATCGAACCTAACCGAATTATATCCAAACCAAAAACCGGATGATATCTTGAAATGATCTATAGAAGTTGTGTGTACGTTACCCAATCATGGCAAGAGACCATGAAATGGTCAGCGCCATTGCTTTGGTTCCAAAAAGGGTGTTTGCGAGCCACGACGTCTACATAATCGTTAAAGATCCGGTGGAGGCGGGCGCGGTTGAAATCAGCCGGCGAGGTAATGGGTTGGTAGACGTAGTGGACAATGTTGGCAACGGAGAACGGTAAGAAGAAGGCATGAGCTTCTTCCGGCCGGCTAGCCCTAAACCGGCCACTTGGTCCGCCTATCACGTTACTAAGCTCGTCAATGAACTGTCCCTCGATTCCGTAGATATCATTTACCGGTCCATCGTGAACCAGTGGCTGCTCTCCTTCTCTGTACGACCAGACTTTAAATCTTTTCATCATTTCTATATGACTTCTGTTTTGTTTTTTTTTAAATTCAACATATCATTTTTTAGTTAGTAACAACAAAAACAAGAATTTACCAAAGAAATGTTTTCGACAGAAGATAATATTCTAAGTTATATGCAGATTTTTGAATCAAATATGAATATTTATATGAAGCATTTTAAAAAATCCAATCTTCAATTTAGTATAAGTGTGAGATTTAATGCACCTAAATTAGATTATAAGCATCGATCAGAGCCAGTTAGCATGAGAATCAAAATGTCAATTTATCTCAGTTGACCGAAATTATAAGAATTTTAAATTTTCAATACTCGTTCTCTAAATATCAAAATTAGGAAAATATATATATATACCAAAGAATTTGTTACTATGTCATTGACTTAAAAGAAAAATTACGGAAAAATAAATACTGGAGGAGTTGAAAGTTCAAATAAATTTGGTATATTGGCATTAATAAGTCTGTGTTAACACAGCGTTAGACTGACATACACTCAGACTTTAAATCAGTGGAAAGTTTGGTCAAATACCCTCAAGTTAGGCAATCTTTTATGATATGTTAATTTTGGTTCATGCATAGAGGATCTTAGAATGAAAGAGAAATTAATTGGAGGAAAATTTAGAATGAAAAAGAAAGAAATACCACACAAAATAAAACTTTTTTTTTCTACAAAATACAAATATTTTGGAAAAGTTATAAAATACCACAAAATTATGTTTACAAAGGGTTTATAATATATAGTTTAGTAAGAGATAATGAATCATTTTATAATCACTGTCTAAAATTTTATGAACCCATCATAAACCATAAATTCATGGTATTTTTGAAATTTCAGGATTTTGATGATATATTCTTGAAACAACTAAACATAAATTATGTTCTATTTTAGAACTACCCGTAAATATGTATCAGATTTGGTCATTTCTAATTTCGAAATGATCAATACGTTATTAAATATATTTTTTTCCAATTGCTACTCTATATAATTGCTATAATGAATATTTAATTATTATGAGGTTGTATTTGTAGTTTCAAATAAAATTACAAAATAAAAAAAATCAATATAATTTTGAATATCTATTAAGCATATCAATTGTATTTTGTAAATCCAGAGGTTTGCTCGTTTAATACAATTTTCAAAGTTGACAAACACATGAACTTTCGTAACATTTGACAACTTTAATGCGATGGTAACCATTTTTTCCTAACATATTTCAGTTCCATTAACAAATTAATTTTCATATATCAACGTCTGCAAATCAACATATAGTTTTATTTGTTTATAGTATATGTATTTAAATTTCTCTATCAGTACTCTTCCTCACTATACATGCGTTTTTGATCCTATGATGGCATTGTAAAAGACGAACCAGGAAAAAATAAAATAAAATAAGAACAAGGGAGGGAGGTATTTTTGATCCGTTCGATTTGTTGGATCAAAATAATAATTAATTTAAGAAGGAAAAAGTAAAAGTAAACTTAACTGATGAAAGGCAAATGAGTTTCTGTAGATCTGGCCTGTGGGGATATAAGTAACTTCTTCGTTGGACGTGTAATTCTTAAACCTGACGGCTCTTCTAATTTCAGCCCTTGCTTTCCTCAACTCTTCTTCTCTTTTCTCAAGATTGCTCCTTCTCTGCCGACATTTCATTTAATTTTGTTACTATCTTATTAAATTAGAATCGTAACCTTTACTTCATTTTTACAAAACTACGACCTATGCATAGAATTATAGAATATGCATGCATGTACATGTTAAGTAGTTGACCAAAATAAAAGATTATGTACGTTTAAAAGTTGTATTTAGACTCATTACTATATAGTATATACATATACATCTTAGGCATGACCAAAAGCTAACCGTAACCGTATTTCGGATCGTAACCGTATTTCGGATCGTAACCGTATTTAACCGTAACCGTTGTAACCGTAACCGTATTTAACCGTAACCGTTTTAACCGTATATAGTGGTTAAGGTTACGGTTAAAAAAAATTTATAACCGTAATCGGTGGTTAATCAACCGTAACCGTAATAACCGTAACCGTAATAACCGTAACCGTGGTCATGCCTAATACATCTAGTACTAATGTAAGCATATAGCATATGTCTAATTTGAATAATATAACACATGTATGAATCTTCGGAATTCATGTATTGATTTGAGTAATGAAAAATGTCTATATTTCTGATGATTTCTCACCATATAGCATGTAGTTAATATATGAAAATATCAATAGTAACTAAAGAGGAAATCTATACATATGAATATCTACTTACCTTTATGGTATTCGGAGGAGAGTATAACGAGGAAGATGAGGATTGTAATGCATTTGTGTGATCAAGAAGAGAGGACATAGTAAGTGAAGAAAAGAACTGTTGAGGTGGAGATACATTATTAGGGAAAAAAGAAAAGACTAGGAAGAGAATAAGAAGAAGAAGAACCAATGGAAACGCTAACAAGCAAAATCTCTTAGAAGAACAGTTTAACATATTTTTGCTTTTGCTAAATGCTTTCTCTCGTCGCCCATTTTCATTTGGCTTCTTGAACCTTTATATGCGACTTCGAGCAGTTCATGTTTGACTTGGCGAATTTTTAAGTACCAAAATAATATTATTACACTAACAAAGCCATTTTAGTTGACGTCATATGCTTCTTCCTACCGCAAATCTTTTGTAGGTGATTACTTTAGGATGGTCGAATCCGTTTGATGGTTTTGTCGGCTAATCAGATATTTAATTGTTATGGAAATAGTGCCATAGTTATGTGTTTGTTAAGAAAACAAAATAAATTTCCGTTCATATACGTCATGTAATTACTAATCGCAACAAATTTGTGTGGAGTATATATGAAATTTTTTGAGTGACATAAAACTTCCCATTTGCGGGTATCGTCATGCATGAAAACAAAACAGCTTCCGATTTCGAGAATCTATATATAATATGTACTGATGTCACAAACTGATATCTCAAGTTTTATTAAGCATATATACACACAATCTATCACAATTAAGAAAATTGTAACGACAAAAAGTTCAACTTTATTTAAAGAGAGAATAGCTCTTTCGGGATCGAGTTCTATACTTATATTTTGCATTTGATTTGCTTGGATTTTGGGTGCTTTGCCAGGTAATTTCACAAAATTCAAAAATGAGCCATAATTATGTTAGTTCAAATTTTTCTTTAAAACACACTTAGGTTTTATGTGTTTTTTTTTTAAATGTCATGGGATATCCAATGAAATATTTTCTATATAATATCAAATTTTATGTTTAAATCATACAAGAAAAAACGTTTAATAGCACTTTTTTTTTTGCCAGTTTGGATTCTACAATTTGTAACGATCAAATGCACTTAAAAATATTAGTAACACAATGTCCACGTTGGAACAACTTATCTTTCGGGTAACTCTCAGTCGTCTCTCACATCTTATAACATGCTTTCTTGACATGACTAAATGAATATAATAATACTAATCGTCTCGTATACAAACCTTTTTCCTAGTCAACAAACTTGAATAATACTACTGATTGTCCTTTTATACTTAAAAATTGGAAATAAATTTACAGAACTCCAATCCCAAGACTCATAAAATTGAGTCGTTCAGAAAAAGCAAACTTTCTCATTGAGAAAAACAGCCCCGCACAGTTTTCACGAATTTGGAACTTCCACTAAAACAAAAAAGAGATTTCGGTTGTATTTTTTCATCTGATTTTTATTAATAACATGATGAAAAAATATTTGGTGAAAAATTCAAATCGGAAAAAGACAAAATTTCTCTAGAATGTAAAACTTGATACTACAAGATTACCAAATAACTCGACAAAATAGAATCATATATACCAAAGTGAACAAGAAATCCTTTAGTATAACATAACAAAGATGTCCACTACCAGCTATCAATGATCGAAACCTCTTCGAAAGATGATGGACTGGTTAAAAGTAACAGAATTTTATGCTAATCTTCAGTTAAACAGTTAATTTTTCCACAAATTTAGGGAGTGTTATTGGTTTGCAACTTTGAAAGAGTTTTAATGACTTTAAAAGAATATAGAAAGTAGATAAAACTAAAGATTTTAAATGATTACTAGAGAATTTTGTATAATCTCTTTGATTAGCTTTTTCATAATCTTGTAAAGTCTCCCTCATAATTTTCAAAATCTTGTAAAGTCTCCCTAAATATAATTATAAACTTTGATAGTTTCTCAAACTTTTATTATAACATATCTCCAATATATTATATAATATTCTATTGTGGTTATTATTGTTTGTCTCATCTTCTATAAAATTATCTCAACCAAAAAGCGTAGGTTTTGGTTTTGTCAAAAGTGTACTCTCCCCAAATATCCTACTACGCTTTTGTCAAAAGTTAGAGGTACGTACGTTCTCAAATTTTATCTAATTCATCTTTTAATTTGTTGTCCATATATTATTATCTTCTTTCTATTTGGGTGTTTTGATTAATTTTGTGTTTCTTTGACTGATTTAGATTCTAGTGATTATCAAAAAATTTCTTATCACTATCTATACATATATGCTTAGTTAATGGGGGATTCCCAAAAGAGTAAAGAAAAGGGTCCATACAATTTGTGGGTACCAGATGAGACACAAGTGCTAGTAGAGCTAGTTGTTGATGCAGTTCACAGAAGCTGGCGTGACAATAGCAATAACTTTAGCAAGCTAACGGTGGAGCAAAAGATTCTACCAGCTCTCAATGAAAGATTTGGATGCCAAAAAAATCACAATCAGTATCTAAGTAGATGGAAGTACTTGAGAACCCTATACCAAAATTATTTAGACCTTCAACGCTTCAATTTTGGATTTGGATGTGATCCTGAAATGAAAAGGTTTACCGCTCCGAATCAAGTGTGGGATGACTACTTAAAGGTATATTTTTATTATATATGTTTAAGCATATAACATTATTTTCCAAACATACCTTATGAGTGATATATATTTATATATTTTAAATCTACAGAAATATCCTAAACATAAACATCTACGACATGAGTCAAATGAACAATTTGAGGATCTTCAACTCATATTTGGATGTGGCTTAGCTACTAGTTGTTCCGCAATTGGAATGGGTGAAACCATTGATGCCCGAACCTTTAGAAGTGGGGGGAGTAAAAGAGTGAAAGATAACAAAATTGATGATGAAGTTTTTGAACTATCATCTCAAGAGCCAGTTGCATCACCAAAATGTGATATGCCACCCTTTTCAGACACAAATCCAAAAGGACGGGTAGAAAAACTTCGTCCAAGGAAGAGGTCTAGAACCTTAGCTACTAGCAATGTAGATAAGCTGAAAACTGATGAGGAGGATCCTATGATCATAGTTAGTAATAGGATCCTTAATGTCATACAACAAAGAGAAGCCGAGGAAAAAAGAAGAAAATCTAAGGCGGGAAGCTGAGGAAAAAGAAGCTGAAAAGAAAAAACAATGTCTGGGAAGCGATGAAGGAAATTCCTAATTTAGAGAATCATATTCGCTACAAAGCAGTTACCTAGATTCATTCGCTTGGAATAAAAAATGTCTTCATCGACATGTCGGTAGAAGAACGTTTTGGTTGGATTCAGAGCAATGTTGGCTTTTGAGTTTTAATTTTTTTTTGTTTTTTGTTTTTGATTATTGCTTTTGAGTTTTTTTTTTTTTTGCTTTTAATCTCTTGTTTGGCAAGATAATATTTTATAGTTGGTTAATGAATTTGGTTTCATTAAAGTTCTTTTGAAATTGATTTTTATTTTCATTCCCAAATATCCCTTTTGTGCGTATACGTTTGATGCATAGTGGACTAGAACATACCGTACATCTAACAAACATAAACAGGTCAAATTATTATTGTTCATATTTTTCATTTAACTGATTATATAATATTTGCAGGGACGCGTTTGTATATCATAAAGCACACAATTGTGAGAGAGGATGAATTTCAACTTGAAGATGACGAATCAGAAATTGACGTTTTGCTATTACTACTAGAAAATACGACCAGAGCTTACTTTACGAATAGATGTATTGAGCGTCCGATGCGTAAGCCTATCACAAGAATTGGCTACATTTATATCCAGAAAGCTCGTAAGGAAGATCATGAACGCTTTCGACAGGTATACCGTATGTACCCGGAACTCTTTTTGAAGTTATGTGATCTTATCACAGAACAAACATCTTTAAGAGGTACCAACCAGACTTGTCTTGAAGAAATGGTGGTTACATTTTTGTTCACCATTGGTCAAAATTCAAGATATAATTATACGATGGACACATTTAGGAGATCAAAATTTGCTGTAAGTACAAATTTTCACAAGGTTTTAAAGGCATTAAACAATATTGCACCAAGTTTGATGGCCAAACCTAGACTCACAGTTCCTAAAAAAATAAGAGAAAGAACACGCTATTATTGTAACGCCCCGACCGTCCCTACCAGTGGGCCTCACGTCGTCTCTCAGGCCCATGGGCCCCCCTTGTCCGACGGCCGGTCCGCTACGTCCGGGAGACTTTAAAGACTTGTTTACCGACCCTGTAAATCACCACATGATATTTCTCTGTGTTTTGTCCTCACTCACACAGTTCCGACAATCACTTTCCAAAAGGTCACCCATCTTGAAACTACTCCAGCCCAAGCACGCTTAACTGTGGAGTTCTCTCAGGACGGTTGACCGAAAATATAAGTGCACTTTGGTGACATAGATGGCCAAATCAATTCTTTTAAACCTCTCCGCGTGCACCACCATATTCCTCAAACTGGGGTGTTACAATTCACCCCCACTAACAGATCGCAACGTCCTCGTTGCGCACCAAGACCGTCACCCCCGACAGTGTGAGCCCTCTTGATTCCACACTCGTTTCGGTTTGGCTCTAATACCACTTGTAACGCCCCGACCTTTCCTACTAGTGGGCCCTATGTCCTCTCTCGGGCCCATGGGCCCACCCCTGTCCGACGCCCAGTCCGCTACGTCCAGTAGGCTTTAAAGATTTGTTTACCGATCCTACAAATCACCACATGATCTTTCCCTGTGTTTTGTCTTCACTCACACAGTTCCGATAATCACTTTTTAGAAGGTCACCCATCCTGAAACTACTCCAGCCCAAGCACGCTTAACTGTGGAGTTCTCTCAGGACGGTTGACCAAAAAGATAAGTGCACTTTGGTGACATAGGTGGCCAAATCAATTCTTTTAAACCTCTCCGCATGCACCGCCATATTCCTGAAACCGGGGTGTTACAATTATCCTTATTTCAAGGTATGTTTAGTACGAAATCTATTTCAAGGTACATTTCAACACAATTTAAATATCCATGATTTTTACAGGATTGCGTTGGAGCTATCGACGGCACACACATTCATGCAACTGTGCCTGCTTCTGATGCACCAAGCTATCGTAGTCGGAAAGGATATACATCATAAAATGTTCTTGTTGCTTGTAACTTTGATCTAGAATTCATATATGTCCTTAGTGGATGGGAAGGTACTGCTCACGATTCAGAAGTATTAAATGATGCTCTAACAAAAAGTACGAGCAAGCTACCTGTTCCCGAAGGTATATACATATGCATTACATAGATAATTCTTTGGTTAATATAACTAATTTAAATATTATCATATATGAATTTCAGGAAAATATTTTCTAGTTGATTGTGGATTTGTAAATCGGCGCAATTTTTTAGCTCCATACAGAGGTACAAAGTATCATCTACAAGACTTTAGAGGTCAAGGTTGTGACCCTAGTAATCAAAATGAGTTATTCAACTTGCGGCATGCATCTTTGAGAAATGTGATCGAGAGAATTTTTGGTATATTCAAATCCCGTTTTCTGATTTTTAAATCAGCACCGCCTTTTTCTTTTAAGGTACAAGTAGAACTCATATTAGCTTTTGCTGGATTACATAATTTTCTTCGTAGGGAATGTCGGTCCGATGAGTTTCTTCCTGAAGAATACAGTGAGAAAAGCGAAGAAAACAATAAGAATAACGAAGAAAACACTTACGAGGAAAATGGAGATACGGGAATTGTCCAATCTCAGCAAAGAGAATATGCTTATAATTGGAGAGATACAATAGCTGCTAATATGTGGGCAAAAGCTACAGGAACCGGGAGCCATCCATGAAGAACCTTAAGTTTTATTTTCAAATATTTTGTTGAATATACTTTTCATGTATTGGATTAATGTTTTGTTCTAAACATTGTTTGTGTGTTAGATTTTTTCAGCATATTACTAGAATTTGGAGTAAAAATTTTAATTGACGCAGATTATATGTTGCAGGTTTTTCACAAATCATGTTTTTGGGTCAGAAAGCAACACAAATAAATATATTTTTGGTCGAAAAGTGTTTATTAAAGTGTAGACACATAGGGCTTCTTCACGATGGTTAGTAAAGTGTTTGGTTCAGAGATAGGTTGGTTCATGATGAAGAAGATACAGAGAAGAGCATATAAATTCTTTGTTGTTTCCAAGTATTTTTAGAGGTCATGATGTAATAAAAGAGGAGAAGAAGAAAAGATTATATAGAAAGATTAGAGAGAGGTCGTAAACAAGTAACGTTCATGGGTCTTTGTTATCATTGGTCTTTGTTTGATGGGTAGGAAGATGATCCACGTTAATATATGTTGTTTTCTAAAAGTTGTATATACAAAGTCAAATGTAATTCACAATCTCTCTCTTTTTTTTTTATGATACTTTTCATGATTTTAGTTTGTGAAGAAAAATGTATAAAATCATAAACCAATAACACAATAGTTTAAATCATTAACAATCAAAGATACTTTTGTTTTAGTTGAATAACACAAAATTTTCAATGACTTTATTTAATTATGAATCCAACAACTCCAGATTTATGAAGATTTTAAATTAGTTTTTATAAATCCAAAACTAATAACACCAAACTTTAAGAGAGTCTTAAAAAATCTTAATTAAATAACAAAAGATTCTTCATAACATTTTAATTTTTAAGACATTAAAAGTCCTAAACAATCACAAACCAATAACACCCTCTTAGTTGCTTTAACGCATATATAGAATTTTGCGTTGTGTCTATAACTACATGAATTTCACTAAACTTTTAAAAAATTTACAGGAATAAAATAAATTTGGCTTAAACCATCGTATCCCTAAAACTGTTATTGTTTCGTTAAAAAAAACTAACAAAGATCCCACATGGAAGAACAAATGCAAACATACAAATCTATATATATATAATGGGAGAGTTGTCTCATGTTATATAATTATATTATTTATAATTATAATATAATATAAATAGTTACATTAATAAATTTTCAATATTATCAATTTTTCTAAATTAAAAAGTGGTGGGTTCTTTTAAAAATCAAATGAATACCTAAAAAAAGAATATGTTATCAGAATCTTTTAAAAAGTTTAAAAGACTTTTTCATTTAACGAAATAAAGTAAAGAACGTAATTTCTTTTAGAAAAAACAAAAACCATATATTAGTCTTATTCTATTATTATATAATTCATATTTTTTTATAAATATTTAGATCAACTTAAAGACAAACTACTCAACATTAAAATATTATAAAAATATACAAGTACATGCGTTATTTTTTTTCCACAGCTATTTACATGTGGGTGGATAGTGAAAAGCGAATTTCATTTTTGAGAGTCATAGGGTTTCAAGCGCAAATTTCATCATATTTTATCAAAAACGCAAACCATAAATAAAAAAGTGTGAATGGTAACATAAAAACGTTTTTTGATAAAGTACAGAACACCGTACCACTTTTAATGTCTCCATTCAGTGTCTAAGGGTCCGAATGGTGATAGTGTATTTGGAAGTGCAGGAAAAGCGGTTTTATAATGCGGTACGGTTCAACTGCGGGACACACGGGAAAAATGTATTTGCGTGACAAATGCGGGTTTTATAGAATAAGTGGTACAGAATAATGTTGATTTAAAAATACAGTTAATATTTAAATTTCCAATCACAAATACATTACATATATAACAATTCAAATTTTAATTAATATTTAATAATATTTTGAGTGACCAAAATAATTTATATTTACTAAAATAAAATTATTTTATTTAATAAAATTAATGCATAAATATATATATATAATGAGTGTGTGTGTGCGTGTTTTTAAGTATACAATTTTATTGAAATATGTTATCAGAATCTTTTAACAAATTTAACAGATTTTTTCATTTAACGAAATAAAGCAAAGAACATAATTTCTTTTAGAAAAAAAAAACCCATATATTATATTAGTTTTATTATATTATTCTATACTTGATAATTACTTATAAAAAGATCAACTTAAAGACAAACTACTTCAACATTAAAATATTATACAAATATATAAGTACATGCGTTTCTCTTTTGTTCACACCTATTTACATGCAGGTGAAAAGTGAAAAAACTGATATCATTTTTGAAAGTCATAAGGTTCTGTGTGCATCTTTTTATTAAAAACCAAACCATAAAAAAAAAATATGAGTGGTAATATAAAAACATTTTTTGATAAAATACAGAAAACCGTACCACTTTTATAGTCTCCAGGGCCTAAGTTCTTAGAGCATAGGCAGTGGTGCATTCGAAAGGGGAGTGTAAGTATTAAAAAAAACAGATTTAATGCAAAAGTTGTCTTAGAAACGAAACTCGCGTGTAGAATTACACTCGGGTGTGGGAGGGACATGACAATCTCTGGTTGGTGATTTTTTTTTTTATTGGAAAATTTATTTTATCTGTGGGAGAAAATATTTTGGGGATCTAGGGTTTGGCTTCTCAGTTTCTCTCTCGACACCGAACCTTCAACCGAGAGAGAGACCGCCGTTTTCTCTCCGATTTGAAGCCGATTCCGACCAAACTACCCAAAAATCGATCTCTATTCGACGATTCAAGCATTCTATGCTTTCAATTACTAAGAATCTGTTCCAAAAAACCCCAAATCCTTTCGTCTCCTCTGGGTCTCATCGCGTCCTCTGTCTCCGGCGATACACAGTAGGTAAATCGTCATCAACTTTGTGTTATAAGTAGCATTTGGTTGTTGAATCCGAAGAGCTGTTGCTTTTGTTATGATTAGTGAGGTAGTGATGAAGAAATATAGGAGACGAAATGATTTTCTTATGAGAATTTCGGGTTTGAGATGTAATGTAAACTGATATATTTCATGATATCTGTTTTAGGGTAGATTAAAGTTATATTTTATAGATTATGTGAATAGAGTATGTCGGGTTTGCAAAATTTTTGGTTCATCAAGTTTTGATTCAGTTATATTTGTCTGTTGATGAACCTTAACTTTGATTTTGCTTTCTTTCTGAGGCTGCTAGGTGAGTTAAGCAGGGAAACTTCAATCCGGAAAGCAACAACTACTACCACAACTAACTGAAAACAAAAAAGGTATGTCTCAGACTCCATTTAGTTAATGCAATAGACAACTAGTAGTTGGAGCAGCTCGTGTGAATGTTTGCAGTGGTTCTTTGTGTGTTGTATAGTACTGTCTTCATAGTTTTGATATGATTTGAGTGTTTCAGTTGTAAGGGTTAGTGTATTCTAACAAAGTTTTCCTTGATATCACTGTGTGGTTTCTGTGATTTGAGTGGTAATGGTCTTGTTTCAGTTTCTGTCATAACTGAAAAGTTAACCATTTATACTTTTAATTGAATGAATCTGGTTTGTGGTACTTGGTAGCTGAGTTGGTGTAAATTGTATTTACACCTGATTTGACTTTGGTAGTTGATAGTTACCTAAACACTTACTACTAAACCACTTCTCCTTTTAAACAATCTTCTATTTATCTCTTCTTTGCACATTATTCTTTCCAAACCAATCTGTTTTACCATCTTCCATCTCTTCTTTCATCTCTTTTCTTTAGTGATTGATATGGATTCAAATAATGGTCCATACAATCAGTCTCCCGGTTCCTATGTTAGCCTTCAAAACTTTCCTTATCATTCATTTTCTCTTGCTGTAGCTTCAGAAATCCCTTCTTTTAGTTCACAGCCATCTCCTGTGCCAAGTCACCCTGAAATCCTTTCATTTAGTTCTGAACCGGCTCATGCTCAAACTCAACCTGAAGAATCAGCACTTGACCGTAGGGCTAAAAGGCTATGGTCAAACCCAAATGACTTGGTCCTCATCAGTGGGTGGCTTAACACATCGAAGGATGTTATTGTAGGCAATGACCAAAGGTCAGGAACCTTTTGGAGGCGTATAACTGAGTACTATGCTTCAAGTGACCATGTACGCAAAGGAGCCGAGCCAAGAGACAGTGACAGTTGTAAGCAAAGGTGGGGAAAAATCAGTCGAGATGTGAGCAAGTTCTGCGGAGCATATGCTTTTGCATTGGACGCGAAAGCTAGTGGTCAAAATGATAATGACATTCTGCAGTTGGCTCACCAAACCTACTCAAAAAACAACAACAAGAAGAAGTTCACGCTTGAGCATGCCTGGACAGTTCTGAGATATGAACCTAAATGGTGTAGTTGGATTGATATGAATCCTACTAGCAAGACAACCAGCAAGACAACCAGCAACAAATGAAAGGCTGATGATGCTTCACCATCTGTTGGATCTACTATAGGTGAGGAAGAGAGTAGGCCTCCGGGTATTAAAGCAATGAAGAAATTGAGGAAGAAGGGTAAAGAGAAGGCTGCACCACCTGCAGAGGTTAACAAAATCTTGGAGGCCAAGCAGAAGACAGCTCCAACAGATGTCCCTTCTTGACACACTGATTGCCAAGAAGGAAACACTTGATGAAGAGGAAATAGCTCTTAAGAAGAAGCTAATTGCTGAAGTTTACAATTCTCTTTAGATTTCAAGTTTATTTATGCACTATTTCCTGTTTTAATGATGTATGAATCAAGATCAATTTGTGTTGTTTTAATGATGTATGAATCAATATCTATGTTTTATTAACTAAGTTTGTACCTTCTGTGTTTGCTGTTTTAAACCAAGTTCTCTATATGAATCAATTTCTTATGTCTGTCTTGTTTTAAGTAAGTATTCAGAAAACATGTCTTATATTATCACAATGTATGAAATTGACTCAGTTGATATATCCCATGTGTTCTTGGGTTTAGTCTCGGATCATATCTAACTTGTTTTCCCATGTGTTTTTGGTTTCAGGTTGAAGAAGACATGGGTTTAGTCTCGGATCATATCTAACTTGTTTTCCCTTGTGTTTTCCCGAAACCAGTCATTTTGGTGTTTTGTATCACGGGTATACTTGAGTTTTTGTATTACATAATGGCACGTTGGATTTTTGTGTCACGGTTTAACTTGTCGCAATTGAGAAAGAAGTCACGGGTTACCAAAATATCAAATATTTGACACAACACTTCATCTCCTATATATATGTATTTCTTTCCTTTGACGATCGCACAGACAAATCTCTCACAAACCCATTCCCTTATCTTCTTTATATTTCAAGTTGATTATATCCAAAAAAACAAGTATCTCGTCCTAAAATTCAAGTGTCTCCTACAAACACTCTTTTCTTTTTTTCGGTTTTTATGGCATCTTCTTCAAATAATTTTCATTATCATTATGACTCCAATAATGATGAATTTGACCAATATCTTCAAGAGCAATTCGATAATCTATGCGATACTACTGAAGAGGATATTCCGGTCGAAAGGGATAAACGTATATACATCGATAGAAATCGGGAAGAAGGGCACAAGCAGTTGATGGCCGATTATTTCTGTGATAATCCGAGGTACACGGAGACGCTATTTTGCAGACGATTTCGAATGAACAAGTCCTTGTTCTTGCGTATTGTCAATCGTCTCACTGAAGAAGTTACGTATTTTAAACCAAAAAAAAGATGCAACCTTCCGAGATGGGTTATCACCGCTACAAAAATGTACTACAGCAATTCGACTATTAGCATATGGGTGTTCGGCAGACTCAGTTGACGAGTATGTACGACTTGGTGAAACGACGGCTCGGGAATGTTTATTTCATTTTGTTGTCGGAATAGTTGACTTGTTCGGCACTGAATACCTACGACGACCCACACCAAAGGATCTTCGAAGGTTACTCTTTATTGGAGAACACCGCGGTTTTCCAGGAATGGTTGGAAGCATCGACTGTATGCATTGGAGGTGGAAGAATTGCCCAACCGCTTTGAAAGGAATGTATTCAAGAGGAACCGGAAAACCAACAATTGTTTTGGAGGCGGTAGCTTCACAAGATCTCTGGATATGGCACGCGTTTTTTGGAGCGCCAGGTACTTGTAACGATTTAAATGTTCTTGATCAATCCCCAGTATTTAATGACATTATTCACGGTCGAGCTCCTGAAGTGACCTACTATGTCAACGAAAGAGAGTATAATTTGGCTTACTATCTTACGGATGGGATTTATCCCGAGTGGGCGACATTTGTTAAATCCATCCCAGGACCACAACACCCCAAACATAGGTTGTTTGCAAAACGTCAAGAAGGTGCACGGAAAGATGTTGAACGTGCATTTGGAGTCATGCAAGCTAGATTCGCCATGATTAAAAATCCAGCTCTTTTATGGAAGAAAGGTAAATTAGCATACATTATGAGAGCATGTCTCATACTCCATAATATGATTGTCGAAAATGAACGACATTCATACACTCTCGAAGAAGAATTAGACCAAGGAGAAGAAACGGAAACCATCCCCGTTTTTAAAAGTTCAGTCAATATGCCTACCAATCTCGACGGTTTTGGTGATGGTCACACAAGAATTCGTGATCGACAAGCACATCACCAATTAAAAGAGGATTTGATTGAGCATTTATGGGGCTAAATTTGGACATCTTCCAAATGATGATTAAAGTTTTTAAATTTTGTATTAATTAAATAAAATGTTTGTGTGTTTTAAGTAATAATATGTTTGTTTTTTTTTTTATGTTTAAAATTTAAATGTTATTTTTAATTTAAAAAAAATGTTATGAATTACTTAATTATATTATTAAACTATTACTAAGAAACAGGTTCTACCAATAATCAACTCCTAACACCATGTTTCTAAACTTCAACTCTTATATTATTTTATTAATAAAATCCCACTAACACACACCCACCCACTTTTACCTGGATGCTCTTATTCCCCAAATCTTCATAACCCGCCAAAACCGAACCACCCATAAATTCTAGAAAAAAAAAAGTTTCGATTACATAAATACAAAAGTCATATAAAGGATTGGTTATTTAAGGTCCAATTAGCCGCTCAAGCCCAAATCTCTCTCTCTCTCTCCCCTCGCCGGTATCGGCTCGATTCTTCTGTCACCACCGTGTCGCACCGGCTATTGGGTCGCGCAATGTTTTCGCTAAATCTATCTCATCCTCAATCTTTGAAACCCCAACATCTCAAGCTCTTATCTTGTTACACGGATTTGTCTGCTCCTTCAATCGCTCGAAAGGTACCGACCTAAACTTGCTCCATTTTGCATTGCTTCACTTCATATCGTGAATTTGGGTATCTACTTTGTACAGTTGATCAAGGAATCAAAGCTATCAAGAGATTTCAGTCGAAAGATACAAATTGTAGACTATGCTCCATTAGTCCAAACTTTAAGCCAGAGAAGATTGCCTGATGTTGCTCATGAGATTTTTATCCAAACGAAATCAGTTAACTTGTTGCCAAATTATAGAACCCTTTGCGCTCTTACGCTTTGCTTTGCTGAAAATGGGTTTGTTCTTCGAGCACGTATGATTTGGGATGGGATTTTAAACAGTTCTTTCGTGCCCGATGTCTTTGTCGTCTCTAAGCTTATGTCTGCTTATGAGCAGGTTGGTTGTTTTGATGAAGTTGCCAAGATCACCAAGGATGTTGCTGCAAGGCATTCGAAGCTGCTTCCGGTTGTGTATTCAGTTGCTATATCGTGTTTTGGTAAGAATGGTCAGTTGGAACTGATGGAGGGTGTTATAGAGGAAATGGATTTGAAGGGAATTTCGTTAGATTCTGCTACTGCTAATGCGATTGTTAGATACTTTAGTTTTTTCGGTACTTTAGATAAGTTAGAGCAGGCTTATGGCCGGCTTAAGAAGTTTGGAATTGTGATAGAGGAAGAAGAGATAAGAGCTGTGTTGTTAGCATACTTAAAACAAAGGAAGTTTTATCGGCTACGTGAGTTTTTGTCAGATGTTGGTCTCGGTAGAAGAAATCTTGGGAATATGTTATGGAATTCTGTATTACTGTCATATGCAGCTGACTTTAAGATGAAAAGCTTGCAGAGAGAGTTTATTGGAATGCTTGATGCGGGTTTCTCTCCTGACCTTACCACCTTTAATATCCGCGCCCTCGCGTTTTCTAGAATGGCTCTTTTCTGGGATATACATCTCACTCTTGAACATATGAGACGTTTGAACATTGTTCCAGATCTTGTGACTTTCGGATGTGTGGTCGATGCATACATGGATAAACGACTAGCAAGAAATTTGGAGTTTGTATACAACCAAATGAACTTGGACGATTCTCCTGTTGTCTTAACTGATCCACTTGCATTTGAAGTACTGGGGAAAGGGGATTTCCATCTTAGCTCAGAAGCTGTTTTGGAGTTCAGTCCACGGAAAAACTGGACGTATAGAAAGCTAATTGGAGTTTATCTGAAGAAAAAGTTGCGGAGAGACCAGATTTTCTGGAATTACTAGCCACCTGCCACCTGCCACCTCTTTGCTGCAAAGAGCGTCACGCTTTGCTCATTATCACAATCCGTGTGATAAACTCTTCCGATGCTCGAAATGAAACATTGCATATATATATGTATATGTATAGATCATATATGCCTATTTACAGTGTTTTATTGTCAAATAAATATGTATATTAGATTACATACATATAAGGTGTTGTTCAAACTTGATAAGCTTAAAGCTTAAAGCCCAAGAAAGCATAAGTAAGTCGGCTTATGTTTTTAAGAAGGTTCTAGAATTGTTTAGGAGATAAGCTAAACCCAATCCTAGTATGTTTAGGATTTGTCTAATAAGATCTCTATATATAGAGGTGCCAAGTTGTGGCTAACCCTATGAGAAGTTTGTGAGATTGAGAGATTGTGTGAGACCTTTGTTTGGAGTAAGTTTCAAAGGTAATAAGAAAAGTAGTTCTTATAAACACAAAGTCTTGATCATTAGGGTTTGATTCTTAGTTCTTAATTCATGTTCGTCATGTTTACTTGGGAAACAGGTAAGACAAAGTTTTCCTCAGGCTACATCATACCGAGCATCACACATACTTGAACTCATACATGGAGACTTGTGTGGACCGATTACACCTTCCACGGCTGCACAAAACAAGTATATTTTCGTGTTAATCGATGACTACTCCAGGTACATGTGGTCACTGTTTCTTAAGGATAAAAGTGAAACGTTTGAAAAATTTTAAAAATTCAAAGCTCTAGTCGAGTAGGACACTGGAGCCAAGATAAAAACTTTTAGAACTGACATGGGTGGAGAATTTACTTCTCAAGAATTTCAAGGTTTTTGTGATGAGTCAGGTATTCGGAGACACTTAACAACTCCATACTCACCACAACAGAATGGTGTAGTAGAGAGAAGGAATAGGACTTTACTTGAGAAGACTAGGAGCATCCTAAAACATATGAGAGTGCCAAATTATCTATGGGGAGAGGCAGTGAGACATGCTACCTACCTCATTAACAGAGTTGCAACAAGAACCTTGGAAAATAAAACTCCATATATATGAAGCGTTTAAGGGAAAGAAACCAAACATCTTACATTTACGAGTATTCGGATGAATTGGTTATGCAAAATCTGAGACTCAGCACTTAAAGAAGCTTGATGAAAGGTCAAAAGCCCTAGTACACCTTGGAACAGAACCCGGATCTAAGGCTTATAGATTGTTAGATCCAGCAAGAAGAAGAATTGTGGTAAGCAGAGACGTAGTTTTTGATGAGAAAAGAAGTTGGAACTGGAGTCATTCAGGAAAAGATGAGAGTGATAATGCTCTTGGAATGTTCAGGTTCAGTCTTGAAGAATACGGAAACCATGGCTTAAGAGAAGATGTTTCAGAAACTTCAGAAAACAGAACAGAAGAAACTAGAGAAGAGAATGAATACAATGATGAAGTCTCGAGTAATGAGAATGAATCTTCAGAAAATACTTTAGAAGATATTGAAAGTCAAGAACAGGCTCCAATACAACCAACTTTAAGAAGATCTGAGAGACAGAGCAATAGACCAGGGTACCTAAGCGATTATGTATTATTGGATGAAGCTGAATATGAAATAATTCAGCATCTTTTGCTAACAATAAACGAAGAACCGTGGGATTTCAAAGAAACAAAGGAATTAGAAGTATGGAGAGATGCTTGTGACGAAGAGATCAGCTCAATAAACAAAAACAAGACTTGGAGTATAGTAGATCTTCCAAAAGGAGCAAAAGCAATTGGTCTGAAATGGGTCTTTAAGATAAAACGCAACTCTGATGGAAGCATAAACAAGTACAAGGCACGTCTTGTGGCAAAAGGTTATGTTCAAAGGTATGGAGTTGACTTTGAAGAAGTGTTTGCGCCAGTAGCACGCATTGAGACTATTAGGTTCATCCTTGCTTTAGCTTCATCAAAGGGATGGGAGGTTCATCATTTGGATGTAAAGACTGCATTTCTCAATGGAGAATTAAAAGAAGTTGTGTTTTTTGAACAGCCTGAGGGATTTGAGATTAAAGTAGTGAAACCAAAGTTTACAAGTTGCATAAGGCCCTATATGGTTTAAAACAAGCTCCGAGAGCTTGGAACAACAAACTGAACTCAATTCTTAAAGAATTGAAGTTTGTTAAATGCTCTAAAGAACCATCTCTATACCGTAAGCAGGACAAGGATCATCTTCTCGTCGTTGTTGTGTATGTAGATGATCTGTTAGTCACTGGTTTGAACTTAGATGTGATACTTGAGTTTAAAAAGGGCATGGCAACAATGTTTGAGATGAGTGATTTGGGAAAATTGACTTATTATCTGGGTATAGAAGTACATCAGCATGAAGGAGGCATTACTTTGAAACAGGTAAGGTATGCATCTAAGATACTAAGTGAAACCAGAATGGAAGGCTGTAATGCGGTTCACTCACCAATGAATGCAAACCTGAAGCTAAGTAAGGCATCAGAAGAGAAGAATATTGATGAGACAGAGTATAGGAGAAGTATTGGATGTTTGAGATATCTGCTATATACAAGGCCAGATCTCTCCTTTTGTGTTGGTCTCTTAAGTAGATATATGCATGAGCCAAAGGAATCTCATGGTGCAGCACTCAAGCAAATTCTCAGATATTTGGAAGGAACAAAAAGCTTTGGTTTGACTTTTGTTAGAGAAACTGAACCTAAACTTGAGACAAGACTCTTAGGCTACAGTGATAGTAGTCATAATGTAGATGAGGATGATGGTAGAAGTACTACAGGCCACATTTTCTATCTACATGCTTATCCTATAACGTGGTGTACGCAAAAACAGAACACAATAGCTCTGTCATCCTGGGAGGCCGAGTTCATGGCTGCAACAGAAGCTGCAAAACAGGCGATATGGTTGGAGGATCTTCTGAGTGAGGTTACAGGAGAAACATGTGAGAAGGTGTTACTCCGGATAGACAACAAATCTGCTATAGCCCTTGCTAAGAACCCCGTGTTCCATGGTAGAAGCAAACATATTCATAAATGATATCATTTCATTAGGGAATGCGTTGAGAATGACCAAGTTGAGTTAGAACATGTTTCCGGGGATGAACAAAAAGCAGACATTTTGACTAAAGCTTTGGGACGGATCAAGTTCAAGGAAATGAGGGAGCTTGTAGGTGTTCAAAATGTGAAGATTGGAGATATCAAGTTTGAAGAGGAGAGTGTTGTTCAAACTTGATAAGCTTAAAGCTTAAAGCCCAAGAAAGCATAAGTAAGTCAGCTTATGTTTTTAAGAAGGTTCTACAATTGTTTAGGAGATAAGCTAAACCTAATCCTAGTATGTTTAGGATTTGTCTAATAAGATCTCTATATATAGAGGTGCCAAGTTGTGGCTAACCCTATGAGAAGTTTGTGAGATTGAGAGATTGTGTGAGACCTTTGTTTTGAGTAAGTTTTCAAAGGTAATAAGAAAAGTGGTTCTTATAAACACAAAGTCTTGATCATTAGGGTTTGATTCTTAGTTCTTAATTCAATATATGGGCCTGTTCTTTTCTCAATCGCTGCGACAGCGACCGTACCGAAGTGAAGCGACAATGGTTGTAACAGCCAATAAAGTAAAACGACAGACAAAGACTGAAACGGAGATGCCGCTGGAATAAATGGAGGTGTCGCTGCAGTGATAGAGGAGTCGCCAAAAAATTCAGCGACTAGAAAATCAAAACACATCGTCTCCTCCGTACAATCAATGACTGAACTTTTGTAAAAAACCTGCTGTCCGTTCCTCATTTCCTTCTCTAATTTCCAGTCGCTTGATTCAATTCCAGCGATCAACAAAAGAACAGGCCCATAGTATAAATAGTGACATCCATTGTTGTATTTGAAAAATCTATAAGACTATTAAAACAAAAATTATGCATATTCAGAATTTGAAAATTTACATAAACTTTTGGCTATTTTTATGAAAACACTATATACCAAGTTTTCATGTCTTTTTTTCTTCTTTTTTTTTTCTTTCTTCTCTTTCAAGTGATGGATCTTTGATATGTAGTCGAGTTTTATATTAACATTGGTTTCTTATGTTAAGACATGTAGTCATTATAGACTCAAGATCCAAAATTAGCAGTGTTAAAAAATAATTAAAGGCAACCACAGATATGACAAAAAAAAAAAAAATCAACCGCAGATTTTTTTAGCAATATTTGAGTAAATTTCCAACAATATTTGTGCTTAATCATATATATAAAAGTAGAGTTTCACTCTTCCATGATTGGTCCACTTGACAATATAATTTTTTTAAAAAATTATTTTCAATTTTTTTTGTGTTTTTTATTTTGAATGTAGTTGTTGTTGTATGAGTTAAAAAAATTCAAATTAAATATCATTGTAAGAGTTTAATTCTAAATTTTAATTTCTACATTATTTGTTTAAAGATTCATCTCCATTTTCTATTTTATATTATCATATTATAAGTAATCATTCTCTCATCCTCTTTTACTATATTCATGTATCTTTTTTTTTATATGGGTTGAAATCAATGAAAACATCATTGTAATAATTTGATTATAATTTTTTTTCTCAATTGTTTTTGTACCTAACACCATACTAGATTACACCTATTTCTTTTTTAATTCTAATATTTTTAATTTTGAATTAACATATGTAAAATAAAAGTTTTGATGGCTATAACAAAACTTTTAGGTTTGTTGGTGATGGAAAGTTAAAAATATAAATTCTAATCATCGCACAACAAGGGAGTGAAGTTGAAAAGATCCATCTCCATTATTTACGTTGGATTGATTATTTTCTAACATATTCATGTATTTTTTAGTTATGCAATATATAATTAAATAAATTATTCTAATACATTTATCAAATAGATTTTTCGTACCTCTTTTTTATCTCGAATAAATTTTTTATAATTTATTTTTAATATATGTGTCATTATATTTATTTTTGTGATCCAATAGATAATTATATTAAGATTTTTATAATGTTTATTTTATTTAAAATTTGAGGTTTATGTTTTTTTTCAAAAACAAAACGAAATTTGTTAAAGAAATTTGGTCCTTAAGATTAAGAAATCTATATGAAATCATATGTTTAATGAAAATTATATTTAGTTAGTAGAAAATTAGAATGAAACCTATAATAAAACTATAATAAAACAAAAATTTTTTAAAAAATTATATAAACATGAAACTATTAGTATCAAATCTAGCAATAGTAATTTTAATTGATGAGTAGAATTACAAAAAAAAAACTTCTATCCTTGGGGGTTTTTTTTAAATAACTTTAGATTGAAGTTCATATATATGATTTTATAAGAAAACAAATTTAGTTTGCCACTTACAAAATAATATGAGTTTGAACTATTATGTGGGAGTTTATATCAACAAACAAACAAATTATTTGTGAGTTATATCAACAATTTATTTTGTAATATATAGCATGTATTTACTAAAGTATGAAAAAAATGCAAGATATCAAATCTTAAGAGCCGTTTAAATTTCTTCTAATTATACTTATATTGAAAAACAATTATAGAAATTATTTTTAAAATATTTTTGAAATGATAGCATTCTTATTCTCTACTATGGAGTTTTGATTATTTTCTTACGTATTCATGTATATATTTTCTAAAATTATGTGATCTTTTAATGAAATAAATTTTGTAAGAAGAAACATCTTATTCTTACGTTTGTTTTAATATAATCATAGTAAATATATTTAGTTTTGTGATCTAACATATAATTTTATGAATACCAGTATATCTATTTTTAAAAGATTGGACTTGAAATTATTATTTTTCCAACAAATTAAATTTACCAAAAAACAGTTATATAATTGGTAATCCGAATTAGTAGTAAAAAAAATAAAAACCTATCACTATAACTTAAATTATGTGAAATATGAAAAAGAGAGAAAAAGATAAAAGTTATCTTTTAGGATTATTGTTAAAAAATATAAATATATGTGATAACAATGTTTTTTTATTGAAAATATTGTATAATATGTAATTTTGTCTTATTTTTATATTTTTTAGAACTTTTTTTATTGTTTACACAAAACGTAACAATTATGCAACAATACTCGAAGCTAAAGAACCTAGTAGCATTTAATCCTTTGTTATGTTTGACGATTTTATGTAAAAATTAGATATTATGATTGTAAAAAATAGATTAAGCAACGCAATCAATATCAATCTATTATGTAAGAGTTGATGTCATTAACTACTTAAATTAACTTCAACATTCTTTCTTTTGTATTCGAAGGGTTGTGTTAGACATATTGACTCCTCAAAGTAAATTTTACAGTTTACACTGAAATAAAAGCCTAAATTTGAGATGCACTATTTTTGGAAAGCATAACTGAAATATAGGAAAAAGGACAGGGAGAGAATTAAGCGAAAGCTTAGGTGAGCCACAAAACCTGATTACTGGAAGAAAATAAAAAGTTCCGAGAATAAAGTTAGATCGTTGGTGAAGGTTTTAAATATAACACAACAATGTTTGTTTAGAGTGTCTTCTTGTTTTGTATTATTTTTTTCTCATAGGTTTCTTGTAATACACGCTTCTTCTTCTCTCTCCCTCTCTCTTATGGCCTCCTCTTGAAAGCGTCTTGCATGCTAAGAGAAGGCTTTAGAGCAAGGAGAGAAGGGAGAAGTTGATTCCTCCACCGGATATATCTCCTTTTTATATCTGCCTTTATTTATTTATTTCTAAGATCATATCTCTCTTTTAAGGAAGAAAAATGGCAACTGATATTTCGTGGGATGAAATCAAGAAAGAAAATGTGGATCTTGTAAGAGTTTTACACAATTTCATTTTTTTTCTCCAGATTTTGAACCACCGAAAATGTCTAATGTTTGAATGATTATTTTAGGAGCGGATCCCTGTGGAAGAAGTATTTGAGCAGCTGAAATGCTCAAAAGAAGGTTTGTCAAGTGATGAAGGGAAGAAAAGGCTTGAAATATTTGGGGCAAACAAGCTCGAAGAGAAATCAGAGAACAAGTTTTTGAAATTCTTGGGGTTCATGTGGAATCCTCTCTCATGGGTTATGGAGTCTGCTGCAATCATGGCTATTGTTTTAGCTAACGGGGGAGGAAAGCCTCCGGATTGGCAAGATTTTATTGGTATTATGGTGTTGCTTATCATCAACTCCACCATCAGTTTCATCGAGGAGAACAATGCTGGTAATGCCGCCGCTGCTCTCATGGCAAATCTTGCACCCAAGACTAAGGTATGCAAATTTTGCAATACATATTCAGGCATGTATTTATTTAAAAAAGAGATTTATGTAACCTATGTGTGAATGTAGGTGTTGAGAGATGGTAAATGGGGGGAGCAAGAGGCTTCAATCTTGGTTCCGGGTGATTTGATAAGCATCAAATTGGGTGACATTGTTCCTGCTGATGCTCGTCTCCTCGAAGGAGATCCTTTAAAAATTGACCAATCTGCTCTTACCGGTGAATCCCTTCCAGTCACCAAACACCCTGGAGATGAAGTATTCTCAGGCTCAACCTGCAAGCAAGGTGAGATTGAGGCTGTTGTGATTGCTACGGGTGTTCACACCTTCTTTGGCAAGGCTGCTCATCTTGTTGACAGTACCAACAATGTTGGCCATTTCCAAAAGGTACTTTAGAAATGAACAACATCTTGATACTGTGACTCTTGGTCTAGCTAGGTTCTCATAGTTGGATTTTTAAAAAAAAACATTTTCAGGTTTTGACATCAATTGGTAACTTCTGTATATGCTCAATTGGATTGGGAATGTTGATTGAAATATTGATTATGTACCCTATCCAACACCGCACATACAGAGATGGTATTGATAATCTATTGGTACTTTTGATCGGAGGAATTCCAATCGCCATGCCAACAGTTTTGTCTGTAACAATGGCTATTGGGTCACATAGACTCTCTCAACAAGGTGCCATCACCAAGAGGATGACTGCGATTGAAGAAATGGCTGGAATGGATGTTCTATGCAGTGATAAGACTGGAACTCTAACACTTAACAAACTCTCTGTCGACAAGTCTTTGATTGAAGTGTTCCCAAAGAACATGGATACAGATTCAGTTGTATTGATGGCTGCAAGAGCTTCCAGGATTGAAAACCAAGATGCCATTGATGCTTCCATTGTCGGAATGTTGGGTGATCCAAAAGAGGTACGTACTTCATATTGTGAAATTTGGATTCATTTACTTAACTTTACTACTATATATATATATTCTTATGTTGCAATTGTTTCTGATGAAATAAATAGGCAAGAACAGGAATCACAGAGGTGCATTTCTTGCCCTTTAACCCTGTAGATAAACGTACAGCCATCACATACATCGATGAAAGCGGAGACTGGCATCGAAGCAGCAAAGGAGCTCCTGAGCAGGTAAACTAATATCCTTGATTTTATTTTAAATTAACTTACTATATTTTATCTGATACCACCTTGTTTCTGTAACTTTATTATTACTAGATCATCGAACTATGCAATCTCCAAGGAGAGACTAAAAGAAAAGCACATGAAGTTATTGATGGTTTTGCTGAACGTGGGCTTCGTTCTCTTGGTGTTGCTCAACAGGTATATCATAGTTAGACTCACCACATAATGACATAAACATATTTGGTTCTATGGTGTTGAGAAAATTCCTTTTCGATTCGAATGCAGACTGTGCCTGAGAAGACTAAGGAAAGTGATGGTAGTCCATGGGAGTTCGTTGGTCTATTGCCACTCTTTGACCCGCCAAGACATGACAGTGCGGAAACTATTAGACGTGCCCTTGAGCTTGGTGTCAATGTTAAGATGATTACCGGTGACCAACTTGCCATTGGTATTGAGACTGGTCGTAGGCTTGGCATGGGAACCAACATGTACCCATCCACTTCACTCCTTGGAAATTCAAAAGATGAGTCATTAGTTGGCATCCCTATCGATGAGCTCATTGAGAAAGCTGATGGATTTGCTGGAGTTTTCCCTGGTAATGTATTCAAATCGTCAATGTTAAAATATTCTTCAGTTACATTAGTCTCACTTGGTTTATTCAATTACATTATTTTCATTTGGTTTACACAGAGCACAAGTATGAGATCGTAAAGAAGCTACAAGAAAGGAAGCACATTTGTGGGATGACTGGAGATGGTGTAAACGATGCTCCAGCTTTGAAGAAAGCGGATATTGGAATTGCAGTGGCAGATGCTACTGATGCGGCGAGAAGTGCCTCAGACATTGTTCTAACAGAACCAGGACTAAGCGTGATAGTGAGTGCCGTATTGACAAGTCGCGCTATCTTCCAGAGGATGAAGAACTACACAATCTACGCTGTTTCCATCACTATCCGTATTGTTTTGGGATTCATGCTTGTTGCTTTGATCTGGAGATTTGATTTTGCACCTTTCATGGTCTTGATTATCGCAATCCTAAATGATGGAACCATCATGACAATCTCTAAGGACAGGGTTAAACCTTCCCCGGTGCCAGATTCTTGGAAGCTCAATGAGATTTTTGCCACTGGCGTTGTTCTAGGAACCTACATGGCTCTTACCACTGTACTCTTTTTCTGGCTAGCTCATGACACAAACTTCTTCAGCGTAAGTAGTATACAATATCACATCAACAACATTTCTGTTATTATACTTATTTTCAATATTAAATTACAGAAAACATTTGGGGTGAGGTCCATACAAGGAAATGAAGAAGAGCTTATGGCAGCTTTGTATCTTCAAGTGAGCATCATAAGTCAAGCACTTATCTTTGTAACTAGATCAAGGAGTTGGTCATTTGTTGAGCGACCTGGGTTTTTGCTCCTAATAGCCTTTGTCATAGCACAATTGGTTAGTAGATTCTCTTCATACCATATTACTATTCATTTCATTTACATTTTATCATAAGCATCTAACACATGTGTCCGTTTTATGCAACAAACAAGGTGGCTACATTGATCGCTGTGTATGCAAACTGGGGATTTGCAAGAATCGTAGGTTGTGGATGGGGATGGGCTGGAGTCATATGGGTATATAGTATCATTACCTACATTCCTCTTGACATCCTCAAGTTCATCATTCGTTACGCTCTCACGGGCAAGGCTTGGGATAACATGATCAACCAGAAAGTGAGCAAATTTCGAAAGAAAAGTTTTACGGAAAATTTACCTTAAATCCATGTTAGTTGTGAGCTTCATAGATCTTTAATCTTTTGCAGACTGCGTTCACAACAAAGAAAGATTATGGAAAAGGAGAGAGGGAGGCTCAATGGGCACTAGCTCAACGTACACTCCATGGTCTACCACCCCCGGAAGCAATGTTCCACGACAATAAAAACGAGCTCTCTGAAATAGCAGAGCAGGCCAAAAGGCGCGCCGAAGTTGCTAGGTAAAAAATTTAATCTTCTTTGTCAAATTTCTTACAAAATAAAATTGGATGAACAAACCAAACTAAACAACGTATTGTTTCTTGTTTGTAGGCTAAGAGAGCTTCACACTCTAAAGGGTCACGTTGAATCTGTAGTGAAGCTCAAGGGGCTTGACATTGATACCATTCAACAACACTACACTGTTTAACCATTTCTAGGGTGACTACTATGAACGAGCTCTAATGAGTAACAAAAAAAGCTATGTATTCTCCTTATATTGTTTTTAAACTATTTGTGACAAAAAGAGAGCAAAAACGAGATATAACATATTTTTCCGTTGGAGGATATATATTAACACCTAGTTAATTACTTGCAAAAGTTTTCTCCTGCATTACATTTTGTTTTGAAGATTAGTAGGGTACAAAACATCTTAAAGCACGGGTTGTCAAATATATATTTTTAAATCGTCAACGTTAAATGTATATTAATATGCTAAAATATTTAGTAAAAAATATTATGGGATATTTTAAAAGTATAATAGCAAGTCTAAAATATTTATTAAAAGATGGTTTTCTCTGAAAAGTTTTCCAAAAAAAACTTATTTGAGACTATTTTTCAGTTTAATATAAATTTTTGACTATTTAAGATTTTTCCTTAAAGAGAATATGAATTATATTTTCTACTTAACGATGTAATCTTTTCCTTCACTACCAGCAAATAGAAATGCCTTTGGTGTAAGGATTGTCATCAAAAGATTTTTCTATTTAAACATCTTACTTATGTATAATTTTTTTTTAGACGGTTTTTAAAATAAATTAGAATAAAAAATATATAGCAAGTGGCGAAACCAGTTGAGGAGAAGAGGGTCAGTTGAACCCCATACTATTATAACTAGAAATTGACACACGCATTGTGTGAGTTTAATGTTATACTATACTATTCTAATTATTTTTTCTATATCTAAAATTTTAAAATGTGTTATTGTCATAAATAAGAAATTCATCCACGCGTTGCGTGATTTTATTTTATTATTAGAATAAGAAATCATATTTTCAAAATATTTTCCTTAAAATATAAAAATGAAAATGAATAAGTGGATAATCCAAAAAATATTTATTTTTGAATTTTTGTCTACAACAATAATATATGAAAAAATATATGAATTCAACATGTGAAAATAAGGTAGTAAATTTGTATTATTAAGAAACGAACGGAATGTTACAAGTGATAAGTAGTGGTGGCAATGTTAGCAACGAAAATTTGAAAATAATTCCTCTATGTAATACTATTATGATTTGAATAATTACACTATCTTATAAAATTTTAATATCAAATAGTAATATTTTATAAGTACAATTAATAAATATCACTAATATAAAAATATATTGAAAAATATAAATAAGAATTGTAGAATTTTATTGTTTTTGATCTTCGTCTTCTTCTATGCCAAAATTGTATACTATCTGTTTTAAATAACTATATTTTGATTGATTACATGCAAACAATACACATAGAAATAATATTTTATTGCAACAGTATTTACTTCTCTTATATTATGAAAAAAACTTCATATGGTCGGTATCTAAAACCAACATACTTCTTCGATTTCAATATTAATTTCTGTGTAATTTCAATAGTAATTTTCAATGAAATATTAATAGGTAATTTTGGATATCAATAGTTAATATCCATCGGGACATAAGATCAGAGCCGTGCCTATTTGAAAGAAATAGAAACATTCGCCTATGTCATTCAAATTTCGAAAGATTTACATAGGCAGATTTATGATTTTATGAATATTTAATGACATGTTGTTATATGTAAAGAAGATGGTTACGTTGCTTTTTTATTGACTTTTAAAGACAACTCATCATTAACTCAAAATGAATCTTCTTAAATTTTGAATATTTTGTGTTTGTATTTTCTCATGTGCTTGCTTTTTCTTTCCACTACATTAATTATTCTCTTATGTTATTTGACCAACTTCTTTTTTAATCAAAATATGTCAAATTTATTTTTGTTTATACATCTTTAAAATCTGAAAAATATATTTTCTTATATTGAATATCCCACTTTATATATCAAGTTTTAATATATATTTACCCATGACAAATAATTTATATTTGTTTGATTTGTACTCTTAACAATTGATGTAGTTGCTTATAATTCATTTTTATTTATTATAAAATATTTTAAACACTAAAAGATATATTTATATGATATATTTACTATAACATATTTAAAAATATAAACTTTTATTTCGCCTATGTTCTTAGAAACCCTTGGCACGGCTCTGCATAAGATAAAAATTTACTTTAGCAAATAGTATAAGCTACCAAAATTTGTTTATGGTAGGTGTACTTCTATTTTTAGTTTAGTAATTCTTATTGTAAATATACGTCATTACCATAACTTAAAACAACTCTAGTGATAAACTAAAACATAAATACTCTTCTAGTTATTTCTGCTAGTCATTTTCTTTTTAAGATCTTAGATGATGCTTTGGTCTTTTCACTACATATATATGTACACTAAAATAAAATTAAGATCTAAACTACTAAACTATAGTAATTAATTAGAGATCATAAGCCGATAGTCTAAAGTAAATTAGGAAAAAATAGAAATAAATGGATCTATCACTAGTAGAAAATTTTCGTATAGCCACGGTTTAGCCATGGACATTCGTGGCTAATTTCATTCCAGCCACGAATTAGTCACTTAACAATGACGTGACAATTTTCGTGGCATTTTAGTGGTTTTTCGTGGCTAATATTTGCCACGGATTTTATCTGTAACAAATTTGTGGCTAAATATAGCTACGAAATTATTCCATAGCTAAATCGTGGCTATTTGCTATGAAAAAGCCACAAAAGTTTCGTGATTATTTTATTTTTGAATTTATGTTATTATATAGCTACGAATGTGTCACTAATTTATCCGTGGCTAGGCGAAAACCTTAATCTTAAAAACAAACTCTAAATTTATAAACTCTAAACAAAAATCTAATTACCAATGTATACCCTAATTAAAATTAAGATCCAACACTTTTATAAAATTCTTAGTTTTTAAATCAAACATTTCAAATCTATACCCCAAACCCTCAAATTTAACTCCAAATCCTAAAATCTAAACTTTAATTAAAATTTTCATTATAGAAATTAAACCATAAACTCTAAAAACAAAATCTAATTAATATACCCAACAACTAAGACATTTTGTCTACCATTTATATTTAATATACCAAATACTACTGCAAATTGCAAAATTAATAAACCAAATAATAATGACTTGTTATTGGTTAGTTCATAGAGACATGGATTGCTCTTTTGCTATTCTCCACCGTTGATAAACTATATCCAACGGACACAAAGTTTCTCAATTTTTTTTCTTCTCCTTTTCTCATCTTCGTCACCTTCCACCTTCCACCTCTCATTTCAGCTTTCACAGGGGGAGACTTGGAGAGTGAGAAAGAAAGAGATTACAGGTGAGTGTGTGAATCAATGAGTAGAGCTGGTGAAGTGGGCCTCTCTCTGATTCTTTTCCTCTCCTTTTCTCATCTTCATCACCTTCCACCTTCCACCTCTTCTCCTCATCCAAGAGAGCACACCTCCTCCGCCAACCCCCATAACTACAACATAGAAGACTAAGCCACAACTACGACGTCGTTCACCACCACCACCATTGACAAAGTTCAACGGATCGGCGCCGTGACATCAGCCATGGATTTCAACACAACGACGCGTCGACGCCGTCACATCAGCCATGAGAGCTCCTAGATCTGATGTCCAGCCACCAGATCCGACGCCACGAGACCACCGAAGATGTTTGACGGAAGAAGACATCTCGTGAAACATTTTAAAATTTTTTTTTTTGTTAAAATCATTGTGTTTTATAAATAAATTAATGAGTAATTATACTGCATACCCTAAGACCACAAATGATACGATCTTGGGTGAGAAGATCCAGTCCCTTGAAGTCTCTTTGTATGGATTGTGATAGGTGAAGTGAATGATGCTCGAGTAGGTGTCTCAGATGGTCGTATCGGGTTCTGTTCGAGTGACCTACTCGAGTAGGGATCTGAGACAGTCGAGTGAAGTGAATCGGTGGAACGGATGGTGCTCGGGCGTTGGTCGAGTGATGAATCCGAGCTGGTCGAGTGGTATGGAGTGAACTCGAGTGGTCTGTTCGAGTAGTGAAGTGGTGGATCGATTGGTCGCACAGAGGATGCGGAAAGCTTCTGATATACCGTCTGAACCTTCTCTGGATATGACACACCAAAGAAAGAACAGGATTTCTCCAGGATATTACACACCTAAGAGAGATGATCTAACTTAAAAGGTTTTTGATTGAAAAGATAGATGAAATGTCTCAGAGAGATACAGAGAGTTTAAGTAGAGAAAGAAGGGGAAAAGATCAGAAGAGAAACACAAGTTACAATGTAATCTCGAAAATGAAAAGAGAATAAGTGAAGGTTTGAATTCGAAAATGAGGCCCCTCCTCTTGGTTTGGACGTGGGCTTGAGACATAAGAGGAGTTGAGCCTCGAATTCAACAGATGGGCCATGATGGAGTGACACAATTGCCTCATTAAAAACCTTGTTGAGAAAACCCATTGGGACAAAACTCAACAAGGGAAAAAGAGTACAATTGAGTCACTCTCCCATTGTTGAACTCAATTGACATAGCTCTTTCTCCAATCCAAGGTGGTTTGATAAGCTTCTTCAAGAGAACATCCGCAGCTACAAGCTCATCCTCGGGTTCATGCTGCTCCTCTGGTTCAAGCTGATTCCTTGCTTCGTGCTGCTCTACGGGTTCAAGCTCATTTCTACATTCCATGTCCTTGGTGCTTTCCAGGATCACATCATCCTCTCCCAATTGAAAAGGATTTGACCTCAAATCCGATTTTTCTGCATTTGAAAGAACCAAGTCAGAAACTTCAAAACTTGAACTCAAATTTTGCTTACCTTGGAGATCAATTGGATAATCTTGGTTTTGGATAAGTCTGAATGCTTTGAAAGGTCTATGCATCGTTGGCTTCAGCTTTGTCTTGAATATTTCATTTGGCGGTCCTTCGTTGATCAGTATGAAGCTGCTGATGTCTTGATTTTGAACTTGGTCTAAATCAGGGGGCTTAAACCGATTGTGTTCCTCTCTCCTTTCAGTACTTCTCATGTGCTCCAAGGCTGCTTTAAAACCTACATTTGGCTCTTTTGACAAAGACAAGCGAATCATATCTGTGTGATCTGGATTAAAAGCATTTTTCAGAACATAGGCACTTACCTTGGGAATGCTCCTCCGCTCAGGTAATGCATCTGGTGGGTTCTCTTTGATTTGAATAGAACATAGGAGTCTTTCTCCAACTTCAAAGATCATCTTAGT